CACAGCGCTGCGCCTCAGAGCTGTGAAATGCGTTCTGTTTTGAAACAAATAATGCAAAAGACAACTCTCCATGTGCTGCACTGAGAGTTTGAATAAAACATTTTGCCTTTTTATGTTGACATTTTGAATGCTATCTCCACCAGTTGAGGAGGCATTTCTGGGTATTAAGAGAAAGCATCAAACGATTGAGACAAAATGTTAATGACAAAATGTTTGTGCATTTTGCCGTCTGTCTGGCCCAACAATGTTGCACATCAGATAATGTAAACAGACTGTTATCTACAGTGGTTTGAAAAAGTTTGGGCACCCCTGATCATTTTCAAGATTTTCCTTTATGTATCATTGGTTGTTCAGAACAGCAATTTCAATTAAATATATCATATAGCAAACAAACACAGTGATATTTAAGAAGTGAAATGAAGTTTAAAGGATTTACAGAAAGTGTGCAATAATTACTTAAACAAAAGTAGGCAGGTGCATACATTTGGGCACCCTTGTTGTTTTATTGATTTGAATACCTTTAGCACAAATTATTGGAACACAAAATTTGTTTGGTAAGCTCATTGACCCTTGGCCTACATACACAGGTGAAGCCAATCATGAGAAAGGGTATTTAAGGTGGACATTTTTTTCTGCGCCCATGCCACAAAAAGAGTCGCTTGAGGTATCTCATTAAAATCTCATTAAAACTGATTGTAAAACAAGGCCGTCTTTTTTAAAACCAAACTCAAAGTAATTAATTTCAAATTTTTTTGCTCCTAATTAAAATAATGGATTTCATATACTTGAATTTAATAAATTTGTTTTGTGAGACAGAGGTTGAGCATTAGGCGTGGTTTGGAGTTTACATTTGTTGTAATTGCTGTAGAGAGTTTTATCAACCTAATCTCTGTATACTTAATCACGAAATTAATTACTAAAAGGACAGTGTTATAAAACAATAATTGTGATTTTTTGTGACATTTATTCTTCTACTTTTCACTCCTGTCACTGATACAATGCTGAGGATTCCCCCACAGCATTGTCTTCACATCTTTCCAATAATCTGCTGTCAAAAGCTAAAGAAACCTGCCAAAAGGCAGAACACTGGTTTGTTAGTTAAAATTCACATGGTTCTTTGCTTGTGGTGATGAGAAGGGAGATGAGGAGGCTGTGATGTCTTGGCAGGTGTGTGCAGAGAAGGTTAGAGATCGGCTATGAGTCTTTGAGCTAATAGAGAGGGTATTGGGACTTGGAGTGACAGGGTTAGGGACTCTGGGTGTGGGGTGTGTGAGGTCAGATGCTGGCGTATTTTGGCTTCAGTGTGGAAGGGTCAGCAGCGATGTGCTGCAGCTGAAATGGTACATGACCCCAGCCTGTGGGATGATTGGCACAAAGGGAAGAAACTCTGACAGCTTGTGCTCATCATCCTCTGCGTCCTCATCCTCAGATAAGGGCCCAACAAGTCTTGAGGGTCAGGGCGTTGAACCCAGGCTCATCAACACCAGGCTCTACAGCTTTGTTGGAGCAGAGGCTTATTTTTACGCTTTACTCCATGGTGGTTATGATTCTGCACATGAATGTGTGTCATCGACAGTCACACATATGGTCAAAGCACGTTCTCAGGAGGTTTTCCCTTTACGGGGTTCAATACGAGGTCAACGATGTAAAAATGTCTTTAACCCATACTGTTCTTATGTTTTTTGTCTGTTTCTTTTTCTTTTGCTGACATTTCCCTCTCCCTTTTTTACCTCTCAACAGCTTTTTGTAGTTGTGGTCTGGAACTTTGAACTCTATATGTTCTCTATACTCTATACATTCTCATCGCATTGGGGAAGGATACGAGGCAAGATGTGGTGAGTTACCCCATCGCTTCTCGATATCCATCCACCGTTCTTCTTCTCCTCACTGTAAATGCTTCCTTTGTAATGACAATGTGGGATCCTATTATGTGAGGGCGACATTATCGTCTTGTTTCATTTTTCAGTTGCAGTATTTTTTTATCAAGGTAATTTCTCATTTGTAAAAGAAAATGTAAAACAACAGATAAATAACAGATAATCATAATTCTGATAATAATGCAATTGTTTTAAGATATAGCCTTGATTTTATGACACTCTTACACTTGCAACAAATTGGAATTTAATTAAAAACTCTTCTCATTGAGGGTCTTCTTTCTCAGTGCAATCTCACATTTCTTACTTTACCTCCGTTCAGTCAAAGAAAAGAGAGAAATAATAGCCTGTCACCTTGAGCTATGTTACGCCACTTACCTGCTAGTGTATTTATTTAATTCATTTATTTTTATCTCTCATACCAATTAAATTATGTCAAAGCAATGTCATGGAGAAACAGGTTTTAATCATGGCCAGGCACATTTGGAGAGTAGAGAATGGAAAGATACGAGCCACAGACCTGCACTTGGACTGGAGCGTGGACAATTGAGTGATTTATTTTAATAAGTGCCTTTTTCTGAGACTCAGGTGAAAATAAGCAGTTAAAACACTTAAGCTTTTCTTCACTCTCTATACATTTATTATATTTACCTCTTCGTGAGGATTCATAGAGAGGGGTTGAATTGGATTTGGAAAAGATATAGAATTCAGTTGCTATAATGAACCAAAACGTATTGCTATGAGTCATTGTTTTATTGTACGTTAAATTGGAATTAGTGGAAAACTGCACCTTAGTGTTGTACAGATTTGTTTGGTCAGAGCTTGTCAATGTATAAGCCAATCTCCATATTATTCAGAAAAGACAAAAAAAGTAATTTAGTTAAACAAGTTTTAATTTTTTTTTTTAATTCAGTGTATTCACTAAAATCAAAAACAGAAAGTTAATCTTTGCAGGTTAGTTCCCGCAACAAATTTACTCACGTGTACGGCTGAACTTCTTTTTTCAGCCTGTAGATGACAACATTGCCCGAAAAAGAAAGAACTGCATATGCCTGCAGACAAAACCAGGCTCGACAGTTAGTCCCTCATACCTGCTGCTTACAGTCATCCAGACCTAATAATATTCTTCTTCCCCTGCACTTTCTAATTAAATTGAGGGAACGTTTGTGATACATCCTCACGACATGCCACTCACTACACATACAAATAAGCACACGTTACTCCCACTTCATGCAGAATTAGTCTTTTTTTCCTTCTTCTTAAAAGGGACCATTGTCTCTGAAGTACATCAGAAAGAGCTCTGAAAAATTAAGAGAAGTTGATGTTTATTAGCTAAGTGGCTATTAGTATAATACTGAAACAGGATACAGAGACTTATTGCAGCACATTCCTGACATAGTTTCAAGTTTCACTGATTTTAAGCCTTTGATAGTTTCACTTTTCAGCAGCACAACGTACATTCTATAGATGTGTCCAACTTTAAAACTTGGAGTCCTAGGATGTTTGATCATTGAAACCTTAACAATAATAGAAAATATTGCTGAAGTTGCTTAATTTTTTTTTATCAAACTCATTGTTTGGTGCTTGTATTTAGTACATTGGGTAAATGGGTAAACCTTAGAATCAAATATTTTAGAATTGTTTTGTACTGGAAGCTATTGTCAAAAATCTGAAATCATTTTCGGGTCTGATATCAGCTTAGTCACCAGTAACTGCAAGAGGACAGTGAAGTGTTGGCTTCCTTTACCAGTTTGATGAGTGGATGTGTGTTGAAGTGTTGATGCTGGTACTGACTGATAGAAGCAGTGTGCAGAGATGGCCAGATGGTGTCACATGCGAATATGCGCTGTAACAGATGAAGGCGAGTGTTTGATGCCTGAATGTGTCTGGTTTTGTTTCATTTGTTTTCAGTCCTGTTGAATTTGGAATTTTGGAAGATTTTTTTTGGGGCAAACTAAAATTATGACCATTTGAAGTTCACAGACAGATTACTGCAGATTTCTGTCCTGGAGATCCGTTGAAGTATAAAGTGTGTGTGTGTTGGTTTCTGTAAAATGTAGTGTGTGTTGTAGTATTAAATTTATTGTGTTGTACTTACAACATCAGGCCTTTCAAGAGTTTTTGCAGCTGCTGAAATGAGTAGAAATTAACAATAATTAGCACTTCTAGAACATATTTTGTTTAGATGCTAAGGTTTACAGATAAAGCAGGGAAGTACAGCATTTAAGTTACTGAGGAGCCTCTGTCTGTAATTGTCTTCCCTTTGTCTATTTGTAACACATACAGTCAGAGTATAAAGAAAAGACAGGGATTTTTTTTCCCAGGCGTTTCTCTTTCAAAAGTCCCTGTGTGTGTTTTTCTAGCCATGATATTCTCCACCTGCAGGGGAGTTGAGATTGGTGGGAATGTGTACAGTGAGAATGAACAGTATCTGCCCTCTGTGCTTTCTTTCCCAGTCACCTGAAAACATCTTCCGACTCTTTATCTGAAGCCGAAGTCATGGACGACTCATTGTTTCCCTCTCCCACTTGGCAGGGAACAGAAAAGAATAGAAAAGAAAACAAGGGGAGAATGGCTTTCTAATTACTTTAAACAACATGCCAAATTAAAGCATTGTGCTGAGCCGAGCAGGGGTCAGCATCCGGACCATTGTGGTTTTTCCAGCATTCTGGGGGTGAGGGTAATGCCAAAGGAATCTTAACTGAACTCCATGTGAAGGGTGAACGAAAAGAGAGAGAGACAGACAGAGAGAGACACACAAAGAGAGAGAAAGTGAAAACAAACAAAAAAGAAAACACTTAAGCACACACTCAATGAAGTGAAGGGTCTTGCTTCATCTGATGAGTTCAAGGTGGAGATTTTATACCACAGCCACACTCCTCTGCCTTGTCTATGGTGGATAAACAAACATAGTGTTCTTTACACGGTGTAATCAGGGTCATTGACTGTTGTGTGGCTACATGCTGCTTTGCAAACAGATCCCGGATCAGAGCTTCTTACCCTCGCCCCAACCTTCACCGGTACCTGCTAAGCAGTCTACGTGTCCTCAGAACAGTGATTAATGGAGGCGGCGCTCCGGCAGGGTCACTGACCTTTTCTCTTATCATGTAGCACTCTGAACCACAAACCCTGACTCCTCAGCACCCTTTGCTGACCTGTGTGTTCTGCTGGAACACGCGGAATAGAAATAAACCCAACAAAAAAGGAGGACCTTTTAAGCTGCTGAATATATACAGGGGATGATACTATTTTTACTTTGACATTCCTTTTTCCTTTTTGCATCTGTGCGGCGTGGCCCCGTTTGCAGGAAGAGGCGAAGCACTTTGTGTGACCATTTCCTTTTCATATCTATCTTTTTTTAAAGCCTAAAAACAGTTTAGTGCTTAGATCCATCCATGCCTGCTGTAAAGGAAGCTGCCAGCAGGCTGAGCTCGGTCAACCAGAGGACATGCAGCTTTACTGGGAGAAGGAAAAGGCTCCAAGGTACGTGTGCAGAAGCATGTGTGTGTATATTTTCACAGTGGTGTGTCATATTCATGACACATGAGCATATATGATGGGTGCTGAGATTAGCAAGTGAGGAGACTTCCCAGTAGAAATCCTTCAATGCTGTTCTGCTGGTCCAGAGAAGGCCCTTACCAGATGTTCCAAAGGTGTTAATTTCAGTGCAGGCTGTGTTAGAGAGGCTCAGACCAATCATGGTTATGTCTCGTTTACCAAAGGATGATGGGCAATTAGGCCTCATCCTCCTGCAGGACCATTATTTTAATCTCATGAGTCCATTATACTGATTCACCCCATGGATTTGCCATCATATCAGAGAGGAAGTTTTAAATAGGCTAAATGTAGTCCACATTTATGAACAGGCTCATCGCTACTCTTCATCAAAGATCTGAATTAAAACAAATATCCTTTAGATTTTGGATTTGTTTGAATCCACTACTTTCCAAACTGTGCAGCGCACACTACGACAGCTGTGTATTATTCATTAGTGTAAAAAGAATTTGGTTAAGTTCCAAGGAAATAAAAATGTCTGGGGAGTTTTTTGAGCGTGGTACATTGCCAATTTTATCTTCTCTATTTTCTCCCTGATTTAGCATCTCAAAACAAAGCAAAAAGAGACATTTCAGCATCTCTAAACTAACTGTGCCGTGACATCTGCCCTCATTAAGAGACACAGACAACACACTCAGGTAGAGAAGAGTAAATATTAGGAAAGCTGGAAGGAAGGAAAAGAGGAAACATTGCCTATTATACCTCAACTCCTCCAGAAAGTCACACCTCCACGTTTCTTTCCCCGTAAGACTGCAACTCTGAAAAGAAAAGGGAGAGCGAAAAAAGGAGATGGAGTAGGAGCAGAAAAGAGACAGAGAGGTATTCTGTATGGCAGGTCTTCTCAGTGCAGAATCAGACATGGCAGTTGGTGACAGGTGACAAAATCAAAAGGTCCTGTCACTTTTAACTGGGAGCGCCTGTGCCACCCTGGCATCACCGCGCTCATCTCTGCTCTTTTTTTTTTTGCTCATCTCCACTCCTCGCTGTCTCGGCATCTCTGCTAAACTGGCAGATAGGATGGCAGGCTGGCAGGCAGAGAGAGACGGCCGACGGGCATAGTTTGAAGCAGAAGAGCAACGGGAGCATCAGGAATGGCTTTTTTCTACAGCTTCTCTCTCTTTCTCTTCTCCTTCCCCTCCATTTCTCTGACTCCCTTAATCACATTGAACCTTTGTAACTGTCTGTGCTCTTTTCTAACAACATCAGCAGCTCGGGGTGTCTGCCGTCATGCTTCTTGTTGTGTTGTTTTTTTCTATACAGTACATCTGCTGTAGATGTTTGCAAGGTTTTTCCCATTGAAATACTGAGCCAGAGCCTACGGCTGCATGTGATTTTGTGTGCAAAAGAAGGCACATCAACCGCGTATCAGCTCCTACCTCAGCTGAGTATCACAGTTAAACAAGACAGCATCATCTGTCTGAGAGGCTTTTACTGTATTTACACAGTCTGGATCTCAGCAGTGATGATGGCAGAAGTAATGTTGTGATTTTCTCTGAATAAAAGCTGCTGGATTATTAATGAATGATCAGATGAGCTTTTGGACATTTTTTTCACCAAAAAAGTTCCAGGTATTACCAGTTGATTGATCATTATCTGACTTGTAGAAATTAACTGAAAAATTATCATGGCTGCAAATTAAATGGATTTTATTTATCATTATTTTCCCACTAGGTGTCGTACAAAGTAGTTGACCTAATGTCATTGTGAATTATTTCACATTGATGTTTAATTCTTTAATGTGGATGAGTTACTGGTCACATATGTAGAACATGGACGTCTCACAAGAAAGAAACTGTGATGGAGCAATTATGATGTCCACTGTCATGATGACTACCTTTCCAAGCTCTGCACACCCGAGGTTTTTCCCTTCCCCCATAGTTTTACGGTAACTTACAGTATTTTATTTTGCAGCGAGCAAAAGATATGTAACCAATACACCTTAGACCAATCATTTGGGAGATCTAACCAAATGTAAGATGTTGCATATATTTAATATCAACGTGATATACGTGTAAATCATCATATCATCCATGTCAACTCAGCTTTTGACTTTTACTTTTAAAAATTCCAATCCTGCAACCCCTTTTTCATGCTTGGGCAGCCGATAATCCTCTGGGCCGTCTTCACCACCCCCTGTAGCCTCCTCCGTTATGCCTCAGTACAGAGAGTGAACCACACCGCGATGCAATAGGTGAGTATGCGCTCAATGGATGAGCGGTAGAAGTTCACCAGCAGCTTCTGACTGATATTGTTAATCCTGAGGAGCCCCAGGAAGTTCAGGTGCTGCTGGGCCTTCTTTAGTACTGCTGAGGTGTTTTTGGACTATGACTGGACGGCTGATATCGTGGTCCGCAGGAAGGTGAAGGAGTGGACACTCTCTACGTAGACTCCGTTGATGTGGATGGGGGGCGAGTCTGCTCTGTTCTTCCTGAAGTCCAGGATGATCTCCTTGGTCTTGGTTGCATTCAGCGCCAGGTTGTTGGCCGAACACCATGTCGACAAGGCCAGGACGTCCTACCTGTACTCAGTCTCCTCCCCCCCGAGATCAGCCCCACCACTGTTGTGTTGTCCGCAAACTTCACAATGGTGTTGTTGGGGTGGGCGGGGCTGCAGTCCGATGTGTAGAGTGTGTAGAGAAGGGGACTCAGCACGCACCCTTGTGGGGAGCCTGTGCTCAGTGCTCGGGTGGAGGACAGGTGGGGTCCGAGTTTCACTGCCTGGGGTCGGTTTGTCAGAAAGTCCTTGACCCAGTTACAGGTGAGTGGGTGAAGTCTCAGGTCAGACAGTTTGCTGACCAAGATGTCTGGGATCATGGTGTTAAATGCTGAGCTGCAGTCAACAAAGAGCACCCTTACGTAGCTCTCCCGTTGCTCCAGGTGGCTCAGCGTAGTGTGGAAGGCAATGGTGATGGCGTCCTCTGTTGACCTGTTGGTGTGGATCGAAAGAGGGAGAAGGCAGTGCTTGATGTGCCTCAGGACCAGCCGCTCCAGACACTTTGTGATGATTGGTGATTGGCTTGTGACTGGTGTCAGGTTTATTCTAACATATATGATGACAAAGTAACAACACAAAAGACGTCTTGATTTTTTACTTGCAAGGGGAGAGTGCAGCTTACTCTTCTGGCAGCTTCCTCATCAA